GGTCATTGGGGGAGGGGGGGGGGGGTTGAGTGATGTCTAACCCGTAGTCAATCGATGTTCGAACAATGTTCACCAATGTATAAGCGATGTAATATACATCGGCCGATTATCCTGGAACATCGTTTTATGATTAGCAATGCTTCGCTGGGCCTTTGAAATTCCGACCGGAAACCACGGCATTTTTTTCTTAAAAGGCATTGGTTGCCCATCGAATACCCATCGCTGGATAATGTGACTGATTCTGTAAAACTACTAGGCCGATGTGGACCGATGTCAGGGCATCGTTAACAACAGGGATTATCAACGATTACCACCGGTTACCGGCCGGGAAATGTGACCTAGGCATAATTTGTCGGATTTGGAGCACGCTGTGTCTTCATGCAGACACCACCACTTTCACTTTAACTAGCGCTGTAAACAGTATCATACGACAATTAGTGAATAACTTGTTTATTGCATATATTATACAGTTAAGGTTAATTATGTTTTTGTTAGTGTTTGATTATTAAATTTCTGTGAGCGTTTAAGCACTTAGAAATTATTTTCCATATGATGTATTACTACAGGTTCGGCAAATTCCAGTGAGGGGTCCCGCATACGGTATAAAATTAATTTTTAAAAATATAAACACAGCTTCGAACTTTTATTTAATTTTTGAAATGTCAAGAATTTACACATCTATAAATTTTTCTAAAAGAACGTTTAATCCTTTAGTAAATTGAACGAAAATGCTTAATTTCAGTCATATTTAGGGTACAAAATGTGTACAACAAAGGTATAAGCTGATAGTGGGACATTTTCTCTCATGATATTATATTTTAATTTTCTTTTTATTTTAATGCACTTTTTGAATAACTAATGGCAATTCTCTAATTTTTATAACGTTACAACAGACGGGAGCAGGGACCCTGTATTGTTATTGGTCGACGTCAGTCAAATGGATATACATCCCCGTTTTCTCTGTCATAAAGGAAAATAATGAAGACCACAATCTTACACTGCACCGAAACCACTATTGCCAGTCGGTGTTTTGAACGATGCACCAGCACCAACAAAACCAGCTCCAAGAAAAGTTAAGGCTAAGTCTGTAATAAAAAGAGTTGCAGACGATCTGCGAGCAACAGAGTAAAACCAGTCAAGACGAATTCGAACCCAGGGTGATTCCATGGATGAGATTGAATGAAGGGTAGCAATAAGGTGAGGACGGGCCAGGGAAAAGTGGTCCAGTGACTGCTGAGGAACTTTTGTAGCTCATTGGACTAATTATATTGACTATTTGTTAACTAGCGCAGGAAAAGATTGATTGATTGATTGATTGTATATTGTTTAACGTCCCTCTCGAGAATTTTTCACTCATATGGAGACGTCACCGTATGCCGGTGAAGGGCTTCAAATTTTGACCTTTACTCGGCACTCAGGGCCATTGAGCAGTGAGGGATCTTTATCGTGCCAACGCCTGCCGCTGACACGGGGCCTCGGTTTTTAAGGTCTCATCCGAAGGACCCGCAACTTTCACTTCAAAGTGCCGAGCGCATGGCGAAGGAACAGTTGCTACCCATGTTAACGACAAGGTCAGTCGCGGCCGAGATACGAACTCACGACCTCCCGATCACGGAGCGAGCGCAGGTAAAGAAGGAGAGATCGCTCAAGAGCGTATTCCAGAGGCAGTGCATGACATCTCAAGAAACAGGAATTGCTTTGAGAAGATCTACTGGTGAATGGAAGTTACTTGTCCGTTACCAAACAGGAGATTACGTATTAAATAAATCTGATCTGGAGTACATGTACCACCTACTCAAAAAGAAGATTGGGAAAAAAGCTTCATGCATTACTTCTTTAGTTTCTAATACTTATGTGTTTTCTATTCAGAAAGAAACTTTCCGTACCATTCTCGAAATTTTATCTTCTAAATAAGTAAGTATCTTGTTTTAATAACAGATCAGATGTCAAATGCCGAGACATCATTTTCCAGCACGGGGAGTCTGCAATAGCGTGAAATTTTATGCTTTTAGAAAAATATTTTCAGGAATTCTCTTTGACTAATTAAAAAATGCATTATTTTCAGAGCTTAACTTGAAATAAGTAAATAAAGATTTAAATGAGGTTTTATTTTATTTACACTATAAATGTATGCGTTCTGTTATTTTATTATTTACAGTCTGACAGGTAAGGTATCAGTTATCTATCTTTAGAGTTTACCTGTAGATCTGTAACTATTTATACATGTAGATGTTCTTAGTGAGTAATCATTTTGGACTGGTGGTCACATGATTTTTAGGAGGGAATTTTATTGTATTCTGGTTTTCTTACCCAAACATCCTTGTTGCTGCTTTGGAGAGTGTTTTGAGATATAATGTGAAGTTGTTGAGCTGATTCAAGTTTTATTAAAATGACTATATCTGGATTAAGTGATATGCTATTATGGGGTTAGGGTTTAATTTAGGTTTACACATGCAATTTCTTTATTTTTTTCTTCTTTACCTACTTTGTGTAAATGTTTGAATGTAAGGCAGTATGAGAGAGTGAATATCTTTTATGAGATTTCTATGAAAGCTGTAAGTAATTTATGTAAAAAAAATAATACTAAATGAAATTTATTTAGTTTTAAATATCTTGCTGAAATTAAGATGAAGAAAATGAGTGCATTGAAGTTATAAAGTTTTGAAGTTTACACAATCCTAAAGTATTCATACATGTATTTATAAATATTTCCTAACATTGTACAACAATCATTTCTTTTACATTTAGAACAACAAACTTATTACTGAGCTAATTAATTAAGCAGATTATTTTTACTTATCAGGCATTCGCACCACATGGGAGGTAAAGTTCATTATGTGTTTGCTAGACAGAATTGTATAAGCCGTTTTTTTTTTAAATATTGATGAATTTTAAGCTATTTTTGAATGCATTTAAACTCACTTTTCCCTTATTTGTTTAATTCATGTTAATTGAAAGTTTTGCATGAAGGATATGGAGATAACGAACAGTATTCAATCTCAAAGTCCAAAAAACAATACAAAATTGGAGCAGAGAAAACACGGACCTCCAAAACATCAGAGATGAGATCAGTTGCCATGGAGGAGTGAGCATCCCCTGCTGACCGGTCACACCTGCCATGTGCTTCTTGTCATGATCAAGAAATAACGTAAATATCCATCGTCAATTCAGTGTATAAATAATAGACTAACAATTAGTATGAAAAACGTCAGTCAGCATTTGACTCAATGATAAATTGTATTTGATGACAAAGTCATTATATCGCCCATTGAGCTTACAAAATGATGACGCTCTCTGCGCTTTGCGCTATGTAGAAAACTGTATTTTAATCAGATTGATAGCTAAACAAATAAGTTGACAATTGAAAAAATAACGTCACCACGTTTATCACGAAGTTTTGTTGTTTGGTTATTTTTCCATCTTTTTCTAATAAAATATCTTGATATGATAAGATACAGAAGTGTCAAACTCGATGGTATCTAAACAAAGATACATAAAATTTATTAAGTTTAGAAGGTATGATTGTTTGTATTAATTCTAAACGTCTACTGCTCTTTCCATTTCATTCCAAGTCCATTCTTTCTTTTTAGTAATTTAAGAATAGAATGTAATTTTCATTTTTTCAACATATAATAAAATCCTTGCCCTCGTCACTGTGATACATATTGATATCAAATGTCCAACCAAAAGAAATCCCTAACTGAAAGAATATAAGGTCCAAAAACACATTGTTCATTCACAGTCTTTCGGCTTCTAGGGATATTCCACTTTCTGATGTGTCTCCTGTTGACTAAAATCAGAAAAAACAAGAGTTAGTGTTACAAATAATATCTATTGAAAAGTATGGTTCAAAGCTTTCGTGGTAATTAATATAAATAAAAAAACTACTTTTAAGGCCCTGAGTGTATCATTTTTATCAGTTAAGGATAAAGTTTAGACATTAATCACTAATTCATTATATGAGAAAAGCTAGACATCTCAATCACCTTATCATTTTTTAATGATAGTAATGAGAAAAATATTATTTTTCTAAGTCCAAAACTATTGTGCGACGTAAACGTATTACATTTAACGGTGTATTCTATTTTGCGATTTTAGCGGAAAGCAGAGGCCGCTGAATCTAGTACATAGCCAAATGTCTTGTTTATCATGCATTCATATCTAGTACATTCAGATAGAGCTAAATCAAATCTACACTGACTTGCTGAAAAATGAATTTCCGCCAAATATCATACACGCCAAATATACCATATTTACAGTATTATATTCATGCATATAAAAATCTTCTATATTTAACTAAAAGCACAAAAACAATCAATAAATAAATGAAGTTATCATCACGGTCAAGGAGAAATAAATAATAAATAAACAAGATAAAAATAAATCTTTTCCATTTTGAGTTGAATACACCTACAGTTTACGTCTGTACATGCAGATATTATAAACGTACACGCATACAGTTTATTGAGACTAGATTGTATGCTTTGTGATATTCTGTGACTTTAGCAACATGAAAGTTTAATTTTATTTTAACGGATTAAATAGAAAAAGAATTTGAAAGACATTTCATGGTCTCAATCACGATGTTTTATCCGAACATAGATCGAGATAAAATTTTGTTTAAAAAAATATGCATTGGTGTTTAGTAAATTTTGTATATTTTTCTTTAAAAACTGCAAGATTTTTCATTATTTGATATCTGTTCTGAACCCCTGGAATTGCATGTTGATGTTTTGTCTATGATCATGTGAAGGTGCCATAATTTTTAATTTAGACCATCTTGAATAATTATCAGTAGGTTAGGTTCCTTGCGTATGTCCTTAAGTTAGTTTCGGAGATTTGCAATGTAATGTCATCTCTCTCATTAAAATTATAATGCGCAGAATTTATGTTCAAAATCAAATGAAGTTCAATTTATGTTCAAAATCAAATGAAGTGGGCATGCATTTTGCAGCAACAGACACAAGCCTTAGGTAAAGAAAATTTCTACTTACTGTTAAAGAATTTAATCGACTTTTTAGTCTATTTATTTCCTGTACAAATAGCTCCTTTTCTCTCTGTAAATTGCTTTCACTCACCTTTAAATTAGATACAGAAATTTGTTCCATGTATGATTTCATAAGGAACTCAAAATGTGATTCACAAATGTCGGATATGAAAACGTAATAATATAAACAACATGGCGTACATAAATATGTGATAGTCTTGTGTACAATGGTTATAAAGAAAGCAGACTTTTTTACATTCAGGGCGTATTGTTTAAGTTTTTTCTTTAATGTAAAATAATCAACGTTTCAAAAAACATTATGCAAAATGCATTGAAATTTTAAATAAAAAAATGGAGGAATGCTGTGCTTATTCAATATAAAAGGGGTTATAAGCAATAACACCGATATTATGGTCTGTTTTGTAACTTTTGTAATCATGCCAAACATTAAATCAAAAGCTGTTGTATAGATTAATGTCAACGCGTAACGCAGGAATATATCTTTATTATTAATTTGCCATGTACATTCTGAATGAAATAGAAGGAAATACAACTAAACAATGCGATTCCAATTTTCCTTTAAAACATGTTTCAAATTACAGTTTAAATATTGCAAATCTCTAGCCAAAACCCAGTCCTATATACAATCAATTTCAGTAGTTTCGAGTTCTCCAACTTCAAGCACACCAGTATGAAACATTTCCTTCATAATTTCATATTATTGATTGTTTGAATAATATATGAATGATATACATGTATGATGATTATATAAAACTCTGCTAAATTATGTAACAAATTATGACCAATTCAAGAAGCACAGATTGATCAAAATCTATATATTTTACAATACAAATAAATATACTTTTACATTGTATAGTTTTATACCGATGTACCCAAAAGTCAAGAGAAAATGTAATAGAATTTCTGCAGACTAATCGAGATATCAGCTGAAATCCAAAAGCAAAATCTAGGAAGAAGAGCAAATTAAATATACTCTCAATAAATACATAATATTAAATGTTATCTTACCGTTAAAGTCAACAACCGATGTTTCAGATGAGCATTTTCTTGCGAAGACAAGGTGCGTAACTCCTTTTCCTTACGCAAATGGTTCTCTTTAACCTTCGAAAAAGATAAAAATAATACCGTAACCACAAGAGAGAGAGAGAGAGAGAGAGAGAGAGAGAGAGAGAGAGAGAGAGAGAGAGAGAGAGAGAGAGAGGGGGGGGGGAATTGCTCTGAAACACTTAATATGCCCCGTAACTTATTTCATTTTATTTTCGTGAAAATATAATTTTTGCTTTTTTTAATTAAATAAAATAAATAAACTAGCCAAAAATGTTAAATAGCAATAAATATATGTTATAGTTAACCTTTATAATTTGGCCTCTTTCCCGTATGATAGCTGATAACGTGTAAAATATTGGGTTGAGTGCAGAGTTCACGGGCAAAACCAGAACAATTATCCAGGCATAAACTTCTTGTGTAACATCTATACCGGAAAACGTCAACATTCCTGTGTGAAAACAGAATTATTTGCATAATTATTGACTGTTTGGTAGTTCTTTCATGGCGAGTCAACTAATCAGCGGCAAATTGCAATGCTTCTCATTGAATTTCTATTATCATTATTAGTCACTATGAACTAAGACCTATTTATGTATACATGTAAAGAATAATTTATTCTTTCAAATTATTATACCTCTATTGATAATACTCGAATTTGATTGGCTGGTAAGAAAACTTTAAAACACAACAATGACTCCAAATGGTACTGTTTAAAGCAATACTGACCTAGGAATCATTGCACGTGGGATATAATGACCCGGTCATTATTTTTAATAACCGCTAAAAATGACCGCTTAATCAAAAATTCGTTTTTGAATAAAGGTAATGCATAAAATAATAATTATTCGAAAAAAACATGTTTTTAAAATTGTACATGGTCTGTTTTGCATTACCATACAGAATACGGTAAAATTTTATCGTTACAATAATTATTACGAATATATCGTTACAATTCAGTTCAATAGAATGTAGAGGCGGCTCTTTAAAGATTTGAATTTCTGTGTTAGATTTTGCTTGTGTAGAGGAAAAGTAATCGTTAGCTATAACAATGTATGTAGCTATAATATGTAACTAAATATTGTTTTAATCAGTAAATCATGATGCAAAAACTTACACGACTTGCAGACGTCAATGTAAACAACTTCGCTATCCGGTCTGTAGCGAATCCCGATCCCGATCAAAGAAAGAATTGATAACGGTTAGAAATTCATACTTTTCAATATATATCGGTATAATAAAACAATTAATTACCCCTTGTGAGTTCAACATGGTGAAATAAGGACCCTCGACCTGTCCCACTCGATGACCTGCCCTGACCTCGGCCGCTACGAGGTCTTTTTGTGGCCATCAGCTCAACATTTAGATATATCAACGACCGATGATTATTCAATTGACAATATTACATTTCATTAATACACACTTACCAATGATTCCTATCGGTATCCAACAGAATAGGTCGCTCAGAACAACAGCAATCACTGATTTCGCAAGAGTCACCTCTCTCCGGTGTACGTTTGAATCATTCCAAATTCTTCCAGATTTAATGACCTCATAAAATATCAACAACTGCCCAACAGTGATACCGAGGAAAATCATGAAATTAAAGCCAATGAAAATTATCATGGAATATTGCCAACCCTTTTGTCTATGAACGGATAATGGTAAGGATATGCAAATGGAAGACTGGGCATAAAAGCCGTCAAACATTTCCAGTCCAGTAGGTAAAATGGGTAAAATCGAGAGACCAATGGCGATAGACCAGCAAAATATTGAAAATCCTAAAATCCAAGATTTCTTTCTTTTTGAAAAGGGGTTTTTGGTTGCGACAACTCTGTCAACTGTTATCAAGAGAACAAACAGGGCAGACGCCTCACTTGACAATGTAGCCAAAATACCAGCAAAAGTACAAAGGTCACTATGTCGCCATTTATAATCCATAAATCCATAATACCCAGTATAAATTAAATTCATGATGGCAATGATGAATAAATATATCCCCATCAGAAAATCAGCGATACCAAGATTTATACATAAAATAAAGTATGAAAAGGATGACCTTTTTTGAACATGGTAAAACTGCAAACAAAAGAGATAGCATTGCCAAATGTTGCAAGTAGCGCTATATACCAGATCAGAACATTTAAGATAGGGACACTTATCAATTGTTCACAAGAGGATATTTCATTTCTAGGAGCAATGCACTGAACATCATAGATACTTCGTGGTTTTGCGCAACATATTGAAAATAAATCCACTTTTAGCAATTTAAGATGAAATAATCCAAGGAACATTTCTTTAACAGGTGTAATTCTATTATTCTGTATATAGAGATTTTCTAGATTTTCCAAGTTTATAAACAATTCTGTACCGAAATATGCGATTTTATTGTTGGATATATCTAAAGTTACTAAATTTTTCAAATTGTAGAAGGCCTTTTCATATATTACATCGATCCTATTGGAGTTAAGATAAAGAAAAATGAGCTGTTTTAATGGTTTGAAGTGATTATTCGTAATTATCTTTAGCGAATTATTTGAAAGATCTAAGAGGCATAGAGATATTAAATCTTCAAAAGCATTTTGTTCAACTTCCTGAATTTGATTCCCTTGTAGCTTAAGTATTTCTAAATTTAATTTAAATCTTAAATCTTTGTTTTGTACGTTTAGTATTTCATTAAAGGAGAGATCAATCTGTTTTATTTCGGTCGGAAAAATAATAGACTTAAATATGTTTCTTATTGCACTATTCTGCAAACTAAAATAATACCCCCTGTGGAAGGAAATGTGCTTCTGGGTTATCATATCATTGTAGCTTGTATAGAGTTTTCTATATACTACAGGATATTTTTCTCTGATGGAGACCGAAGCATCCATTTCTTTTACATTAAAAACAGTAACGTAGTCTTTTATGGCGTTATTGTACCAAGATGTTTTAAAGGATATTTTTATACGAGTGTTCTTAGAGGTTTTAATTTTAATGTCGAGATAGTTTTCATGAAATGAAAAAGAAGCAAAAAGATCTTTAGCTCTAGGCATTTGATTGGGTCTATTTGAGTCTATTTCAAGGGAAAAACGTGATGTTGTAGTAGAAGAATATATTCGTAAATATTTAACTGAACAATTAAAAAATTGTAGCATTTGTAATTGTTTTGAAGGTTTATAACTTTGATAAATTGTAAGATTATTAATGGAACTATTGAATAACTTAACATGCTGAAATGTACTAGCGTTCGATTGATCTAATAACAGAAAATCAATATCTGATTGCATTATATCTAAGGAATAAGCAGGAAAGGCGAAACGATTTGAGACAGAAACTTTGCCACAGATAAGATTTTCCCATTCCAAAAATGGAAAAATGTGCGCATTGTAGCTAAAACATTTCATTTTTGGTTTTGAAGATGTACAAGACAATGGACATTCTTGAACACATTTCCATAAACCCGAAGATAACACACATTTACCAGACAAACTATTTTTTGACTGGTTAAGCAATCCACTGCGTTTTTGTAATGCCTTCAAATCGTAAAAGCTGTCAGAGGATTGGTTCGATTTGTAAAAATCAACATCCGATATATTGCTGTGTAAGAACGGTATACAGTCAGTTTCCGTTTGATTTTCTCCATCTATGGTGCTTTTCAAGACATTGTGTTCATCTGTGAAGGTTTTGCATTTAATGACTTTTGAAGTTTGGTTACGCTTTGATGGAATTTTATGTATAGATTTGAAGTCACCTGGAAAGACAAAGGGATTGGATTCTTCATTGATGAGGAAAATAATGTCACACCCTATGACCGGCAACTGGGACGACAGATGCAACTGCGACAACAGACACGAAAGTTGTAGATCGCATCACAGGTTGGTGATTTGTAACTAAATTTGTGGCAATTTAAAACATCCATTTACTGATTTGGTCAAACCATTAACTTCTTCTTCTTAGAATACAAAACCATAATTTACTCATTGAAATGGAAAAAGAAAAGAGGAAAATTAAAAATTAACCGTCGTCCACCGAAATTTGGTCAAACGGAGCTTAATTCATTTAAACTGTTACTTCAATGTCAGATTTCTTTTTGTATATAAAAAATTAAGGCTCTTTACGATCAAAGTACAAAATGTGAATAGTCTTACTTGTTTAAGAAGCGTGCTGCAAACGTTTGATTTTGGTGGATTAACATTTTTGGGCTATCGTGTACAACAGATGGATGATTTCTATGGCAAACACTGACGACAGATAATCATATGGATAATGGCAATTGGTAACAACTTGGTTTTCAGTCAGTTTTCGGTGTTCTCATCACAAAAAATGTTGACTATCGAATGCGGGCTGATAGGTCTCCTTACTAAAGGAATACTAAAACTAAGTTCTTTAAATTTGCTTATTTATTTGGCTTAATACATATTAAATATATTAAGTATTGATTAAATGGATGTTTCAAATTGCCACAAATTTAGTTACAAATCACCAACCTGTGATGCGATCTACAACTTTCGTGTCTGTTGTCACAGTTGCATCTGTCGTCCCAGTTGCCGGTAATAGGGTGTGATGTGTGTATGATTTTATCACAGGAATTTATTCAAACATATAGATGGGCATGAACTTTTTAAACCATCAAAAAGTACAGATATGGATAAATAAATATCATAAGATGTGTATAATTACAATTTTCTTCGTCACTTCCATCAAAACAGTCCATTTTCCTGTCACAAAACCGTGTTCTTGGTATACAGTCTTTACTTCTAAGACAACGGAATTTTTCGTTCGGACATGGCTCAGTCACTGAAATTTATGTGTATATTGATCTGATAACAGTTTGATAATCTTTTGCAATAAAATGTATCTTGCTGAGACGTGGATCTATCTCTTAATACAATGAACAAAATTCCTATTTCTTATTTAAATAATATAAGAAAAAGCTTATTCACTATATACTTTTTTTTTTACTTTGGAAGAATGTACACTTTTGCAAGTCATCATACATGTACCCTTTGAAAAGGAATAAGCCTTTCCAATATCTTTGTTTCAATTCTCGTTACCAGGCAATATCTGCCAACTGTCTCAAGGACAAAGTAAATATTTGATAAGGGTTTGATATTTGAGCTTTTGGCTAATACTGAAACGATGAAATACGATGAAATCAATATCGTCCTAGAATTCTTCAGTGGAATTTTATGTGTACATGTAGCTAGAACAAGGATTAACATTCAAACCTTAACTTAAGGGTCCTCCACACCATGTGACTTGTGACGTATATAGAGGGAAAAATACTTTTACTTCCGGTTCGATCGAGTGTCTGTAAGAACGATTTAACCCAACACCGTTTGTAAACAATGAACACATGGCATGATCACGGAGTGACCGATGGAAAAGGACGTGCGGTTTTTGTTAAATAAAAGAACAACAGACGTCTTGGATTATGTTACATAATAATCCGTAAACTACAGGTACCGGTG